CCTCTAATAAGGATGACTCTAAATGCAATTGTCAACTTTATTGCGATAACTAGCAGAGAAGGGACAATATAAGGTTAAGATTTGGAGTAAATCTTTAAACCTACTCTTAAAGACAATATAATCTTTTTTATATATAATCGAGTTAACTCATGAACCTAACGAGTCAAACTATGTACAGTTCAAGTTCAGCTCATTTAGTTAACGAACTTAATTTTTCGCTCATATTCAGCTCATTTGGTTCATGAACATTGTTCAACGATTTAATTATCAAACCAAGTTCCAAACTATTTTTGAGTTGGTTCGGTTCATTGTTATTCCTACACAAAATTATCTCTAGACTTTGTTTATTGAAATATGAAAAAGCTAGGTCAATAGTTGAAACATATCTCTCAATAATGATACAACACACATATTACATAAAAACAAGGTTTTTCACCATATATTCATCATCAACTTGTTCACATATAAAATATCAAGAGAAACACATGCAAAAGTTAGGATTATATACCAATAACCTTGACACAAAAGTGACTTAGCTATCCTTAACCATGGTAGCTTGCTTCACAAGTTTCAGGAGGAGATGAATGAGCATCCACGTCGAAGAATCAAACTCGGATGCGAATGTAGCTTCTATGTGTAAAATCTCACTCTTTGGTGAAGAAATCTCAGAAAATCAGGTTTTGGTGTGTAAAAGTTGGTTATGATCCCCAAAAATGATCAAAAGTACTTATATAATACATTCAGGACCTATCATGTTTGCATTGCGAACAAATTATTCGCCTAACGAACATCAAATTAGGCACCTGATGTGCCTCTGCACAGCTATACCGCATCTGAGACAACTCTGAAGTTCACCGTGCGAATGATTATTCGCCTAGCGAACTACTTCACCTACAAGTTCGCACATCGAACTTATGACCCTTTAGCTACTGCCTCAAGTCTGGGATGCTTCACTAGCTCTTCGCTGACACGTTGCCACATTGAACCTTCGCTGGCTTATTCACCCAACGAACTTACAAGCCTTTTGCTACTGCCTCAAGTCTGGAAGCATTCGTTTGTTCTTTTCCATTTGTTCGCAAAGCGAACATTCGCTAGCAAATTCGCCTAGCAAACTTACTGAAATTCTTCTCTTCCTTTGGAAACCTTTCCTAATTTCTTGTGTCTCACACTTTGATGATTTAATGCCTACTTTCTGCACAATAACACACAAATAAAAGGTACCAAAGGTATTTTCAAACAATTGAAGAATGACAAATTTTCAAGTAGAAATTTCAATAAATCAACACAAAAGAGTTGAAAAATACCAATTATAAATGATAAATTTAAAGCAAGATTGACATCTAACATTTTATAAGCTAAATGAATGCCAAATGGAGAAACCAAGTATAAGGCAAGACTAGTGGCGAGAGGTTTTCTGCAAAAACTTGGTCTTGATTTTGAGAAAGTCTACGAACTTGTTGCAAGGCTGAAGACAATCAGAATTGTTGTGTCGACATGAGCATACATAGGGTGAAAGATACATTTGTTGGATGTAAAATCAACATTTCTGAATGGACCTCTGGAAAAAGAAGTCTAAGTCAGTTAACCACTAGGATTCGAAATTAAAGGTCAGGAATCGAAGGTGTACAGATTGAGAAAAGCTCTTTATGGTTTGAAGCAAGTTCCAAGAGCTTGGAATAAGAGAATAGATGCCTTCCTAATCAAAGCAGGTTTCATGAAGTGTGCCTCTTAACATGAAGTATACGTCAATGATGCAGACAGGGTTAGAAGAATCATCATATGCTTGTATGTAGATGATTTGTTTATTATAGGTGCAGATGAAACAAAGATACGAAAATTTAAGTTAAAGCTGATGCAAGAGTTTGAAATGTCCGACCTAGAAAATTTATCATATTTCTTAGGGATGGAGTTCAAAGATACGAGTTAAGGAGTATTTTTGTACCAAAAAAAGTATGCCTAAGATATCTTGAAGAGGTTCAAGATGAGCAACTATAATGCAGCTGCTACGCCATTAGAAACTGGAGAAAAGTTGAGGAGGAAGACAAATGATGAGTTCGTAAGTGCGACACTATACAAACAAATCATTGGATCCTTGAGGTATCTTTGCAATACTATGTCAGACATTTGTTAAAGTGTCGGGTTATTGAGTAGATTCACGGAGAAACCCCAATAATGTCATCTCACTACAGTAAAAAGGTGTTGAGATACATAAAAGGTATGGTTGATCATGGTGTGTTGATGCCGAGGTAGACGAAGACCAGCATAGATGCATGAGTATATGACTACACTAATTCAAATTTTAGGGGAGATCATGACGAAAAGAAGAGTACTACAGGATACATATTCATAATCAAAGGCGTTTTAATCTCATCGAGTTTAAGAAAGCAAAACATTGTGGCTTTGTCATCGTGTGAAATTGAGTACGTGGCTGCATCATATGCAGCATGCCAAGCATCATGGATAGAGATGTTACTTGAAGAGCTCAAGATAATGGGACTAAGGAAAATGAAGTTTTTTGTCGATAACAAGTCAGCTATCGACTTGGCGAACCATCTAGTGTGTCATGAATCATGATCTAAGTAAGCATATAGAGATGTGATATCATTTTCTGAGGGATCAAGTCAACAAATGAAATCTTGAACTTGAGCATTTCAAAACAAAAGTGCAATTGAATGACATACTCACAAGTCAGGTTCGACGAGTTGAAGAGAAGCATCAGGATAAGAAGTCTCGAGGACATGAATTAAGGGTGTGTTAGAAGTTGTAATTCGATGTTCTGATTGAGAGTTAGCATTCGAGTGGGTCGAAGCAGCTAGTCAAAGTTGTAGTAGTCAGTTGTATTCGACAGAGTCGAATACAACATATAGTAGTGTTGAAATATAACTTGTGACTTTGTACTTTACATTTTGTATGTTTTGGGTTTTGGTCAGTTTGTATAGTTTGGGTATGGACTTTAGTTGCAATATATAAAGGTCTTTGTATGATGTAAACAAAAAACTTTACTCAATCCTAATTTTCATAATTCAGTTTTCAGTTTTCTCTCTTTTCTCTCTTCTTCTTTTCCATCTTTCATCTTTCTTGTAAACATTTGTTCCAACAATGCTAAGACTTTGTTTAAGAGTTTAGGAGGATTTTTTTTTAAAAAAAGAAAAGGATTTGAGTAGGAATGTCAATGGGCATAATTTGGAGGAAGGGAGCATTTTGAAGAAAAAAAAATACTAGTTCTCATATTTGCGGTTTGAAAAAATTCTCGTACTTAAGTCTATACCCGCGTGGACATCAACATTTATATTCATATATGTATCATATGGATATCTACCTACCCATATCCATAATCGTTTACCCACATTTGTAATAAAATAATCAATCAAATCATGTCATTTTAAGTTGTTAACAATATTTAAAAAAATAAAAAATATTATTGTTGAGTTAAGAAATAAATAAACATTTATATTAAAATGTATACAAATTTAACAACGAGTGTGTGTATATATGCTCGGGGAAATGAGGCGAAATGGGTATTAAGGTAGTACTCTCGACTATACTTGTTTATTTTAATGAGTAATTGTTGGTGCTCATACTTATATCTATTTTGTAGGTTTTTATCTTACTCTATGTAGATAATTTATATTTATACCCAGTAAAATTGGATCCAATTGTCATCCATAGAATTGAGGGGGAAAAGATATAAAAATTTAGATGGAGAAAGTTTTGAAGGATAAAACAAAACCTCTCTAATTTGAAAATTTTAAAAATTATATTGGATGACAAATTGTTAAATTATTTATGTTGTTATAATATTTCAAAAATTAAAAATATATTAATAATAAATATTTTTTTATCATATTTTATAAAATCATTTTTTTTAAATTATTAAAAAGTTCTCTATTTAAAAAAAAAAAATCTTTTTCCGAAGTTCTCTCTTTCCCTCCTACTCCTAACTAGCAGAGAGCCTAAAAGGAAAATACATTATATAATTTTAAATATAAACTAAGACTATTTATTCTTGCTGGTATTAACATTTTTTAAGTTTATTCAGGAAATTTATAAATAAAAAAATGCTCAAATGTATTTAAGTTATACATTCTTTTCAATATTACCTGTATTTTTTCTTTGAAAATCGTTAAATCGTGAAAATATGAAAAAAAAAATGATATATTTAAAATAGTAACATTGAATGTCATAATTAGATAAAACTTTTGCTTGTATTTAAAATTATTGAAAAGAAAAATTTGTTGCCAAACAACCTACAGTGATTTTCCCCAAACAACTTGGGTTTGGCAAAAATTACATTACACAAATTGTGTAAGAACATGTGAGAATACAACTTCCCAGCTAAGAACAACAATATCTAAAATTATGCGGAGTGCACGAGTTCCAAATCCTTCTAAAAAGACAGGATTTAAACCACCAAAACTTGAGAGTTATAAGGATGCATTTGAAATAGATCACTTTTAAATTCTTCAATCATGAAAGGCACCAATAGCAGCTCATTATCATTCTCATCAAGAGGATGACAAATATCACCAATCACGGGTGAATAAATACCCGGTATATTTCGCAACTACTTAAAATAAGATTTTGCATCTAGACTATTAGCCATAATATCCACAGGTGAAGATAACTTCATAATTCTAGCATGCATTCAACCTCTCTAGTGCAGTGATTGTAATGTCAATGAGAGTAAGTTCAAATAAAAAAATTGAGATCTTTTTATAGCCTTTTTACCTTTGCATCTAATGAGTGTGTACAAGCATATGATATGATAAATAGCAATTGCATGAGACACCAAATGGATGAGAATCTTGTTTCAATAGCCAAACAATTGTTTGCTTTAATTGTAATCAATAAAAATAAAACATTAGGAATCAGAGAATTAATAGTTACTCCAAATTGCAGTTACAGGGATATCCTGAAATGTTGTCAAGACCTAATCCTATCCTGTCAGTGAGCAATAGATTCATAAATTTATCAAACAATGTTTATTACACTTGGATTTGCTATTTACGAGTTTTCTTTACGGAATGACCAGTTTTTCGCTTATGACGACTGAAATCAGAAACAAACCTGAATGTTTGTTCACACCCCGGCTCAGCACACACGTATGGACGGGCACCGGTGTGGACTCGAATATGTTCGGTACGAGCCCAAGACCACTTGAAAGCCATCTTGCATCCCTTCCAAGGACACTTTAGTGGGCGATCATCCTCATGAACTCGACGGTGATGTACCAGATATTTGTGTGAGAAAAACTTCTTTCCACACCCTTTCACAGGACATATATTTTTCTTATGATGCATCAGCTCCTGTTTAGAATAAAAACTCATGGTACACCCTTCTATGTCACACTGGTATTCTCCTTCCTCGTCCTTCACTTTGGCACGGCCAGCTGAAACCTTTGCAGTTATTACATTCTTCAATTTTTTCTTATTTGTTTCTTTTTCTTTTGCTTTCCCCTCGGATTCATCCTGAATTTTTTGGACTCTTTTCCTAATGCGCGTGCTGGGAGGTCTTCTAGCTTCATTGTCTTCAATTTGTGAAGTTTCATCTTTGGAGTTAACTGATTGGTTGCTCCACGCAAGAGGCTGTTGCTTCATTTTCTGAGGAGCCTTTGATTTTATTAGCAACTGAGCACCACGTTTCGCAAGAGATGGCTTGCTTGTCACACAAGGCGAGTTAGCTTGTTTCATTTGTTGAAGAGTTTGTGATTTAGTTTGCTTACGCCGAAGAGGTCTCATGTGTTGCTGATGACAATCATCCTCCATCTGATCATCTGAGTTTATATCGTTTTCATTTGTGAATTTAGCTTGCTTCCTTTTAGGAGTTTTATGCAGCACATGAGAATCACTTTCAGCAGAGTCATCCATATTTTCTTCATCACTATATTTATTTTTCTTGCTCCTTCGCATACTTCTTCGGGGCTTCTGAAAGCAACACTCCAACTGGTCATCACATGTTATATCTTCCCCAACAATGGGTTCGACTTGTTTGCCTTTTGGAATCCTTCTTTGATAATTCCGAGAATGGCATTCAGGTTCCTCATCAGATATAATATCCTCTTCAACAGGGTAATTGTCCTGCCAGCTTTTAGGACTCCTCTTCTGTTGCTTCAGCATGCAGTGCTCCAGTTGATTGTCAGATATCACTGCATCTTCTTCCGAAAGATATTTGGGTAGCCTGCTTTTACATATCCCGCGTTTTTGCTTCTGAATATAAACCTCTGTTTGATCATCAGAAATCACATCTTCAACAGTGAATTGGTCATACTTGCTTTTAGGAGTCTTCCTATGCCGCTGAAGAGAACCAACACCCAATGAATCCTCTGATACAGCATATTGTGTGTCACTAAGCTCTTCCTTCTGTGGCCAATCAGAATCATAGTCCATTGTATCATCTGAAACCATATCACTGTCAATAGATTTAGCTTCCTTGGAAGTAGTATTCCTCCAAGGTTGTCTGCGAGTATTACCATCTCGCAAATCATCTGAAACTGCATCACTACCCATGCATTTTGTATGCTTGCTTTTAAGCATGTTATGGTGCTGCAAAGGAGAATAATCCCCGTCTGAAGCAGTACCATGACCCTCAATATGCCTGGTTCGCTTACTTGCAAGAATCCTCCTTTGAGATTGATTGCATTTATCTTCAATTGAATTATCAGAAAGCCAACCCCCCTCAGAAAAACTTCCTTCCCAATCTCCTTCACTTTCTACGGCCACTTTCCATTTCCTACCAGATTTTCTATTTGTAGTATTACTTTTCCGTATACGTTCTGATCTCTCACTTTTCTCATCGAGTAATGGCCACATTTGAATGCTTTTCTCATTCTCAACATCTTCGAGCTCTCTTTTTGCTAAAAGGGGGTGGACCTGATTAGACATCCAAACTTTTCCGCACCACTTTCCAGCAACTATCTTTTTCTGCCTACTTGTCCTTCTCTGACAGACACTGGGCTCAACGGGCGAGCTTACTGGAGAGCTACAACCAAATGCATAATACAGAACAGAATTGTAAGGCATCTGCTTACTGTAAAGTGGAGACCGGCTAAGATTGGCACTATAAAAGAGATTGATTCCCAACTTTACAGCCCAGTCACTATTGCCAGAAATAGCTTCCTCACTATCCAGAGCTGATTGAATCCTCTCCTTGTCTTCCCTGTTGGCCTGCCTGTATACGGTATTCTTCCACTTATAACTAATCCCCGTTTCTTCTGCCACAAACTTCGCTTCAGCCTCTATCTTCGGATAATCTGTAGAAATCATTATAAATCAATAATTATTGGGAAGGAGAGGAATACCAGTTACAATAAAGTATAAACAGTAGTAATCACAATCCTCCACGGATGCAAAACATGCTAACAAGCTCAAAAGTTAATTTGTAGCAATTAGGCAATAAATACCACTTACTTCGAATGCATGACAAAGTTATATATAAATGTTGGTTCAAATCAGAAATAAATATCACTGATATGTTGACATGTACATGGATTTCAGTATTTCCAATAATATCTAAAAACTTGTACACTAAATCACTTACGGTTTTGAAATATGCGAACAAGTAAAGTATAAGCTCCCTGCATTGTTCATATAGATTTATGAACATCAAACACAAAACTAACACTTCATATAAGTTTAAGCCTTTAAGGAAAATGGACCAACCAACCACTTAACCTTTCATATTAGTATATATGAATATGAATAACCTTGTCACCAGGGGAAAACAAAAATCACATACTTTTTTGCCTCTTAGCCCAAAGTAAGACATAACCTAACATCACAAGACTCTCATGTTCATTGACCAAAGTTTCCTTGAAAAAGTGTTCAGAACGGGAAAAGGGAAGAGTTTTTTCACACAAAAAATTGCCACAAAAGAAACATTGCAGTGCAAAATGTGTTCATTCAATGATACAATAACTTAAGTGGAAATTGTAAATTAATGAATCGCCAGACCTGGATGACATAGGAGCAATATATGCGCTCCTCCAATAGGCCGAAGTTGCTGCTCTGCTTCTGCAGCATGCTCTAGACAGAAGACATGCATCCTAGACGCGTCTTCATCAGATGGTGGCGCCGATGATACATTTTTATTGACAATGGGAATCACAGTCTTGCCCGACAAGGGCATTTCAGTATGAGTATCTTCGGAACAATTCAAGGTGGAATGAAGTCCTTCCCTAGTATTTTTGAATGAAACCCCTGATGTGGTATCATAATCTTCTGAATGAATAGAGTAATCACAAGGACTCATAATGCGCTCAATTTTCTTATGCATATAACTCTCATAATTGTTAATACTATTTACAGGGCTAGCATGGCAATCTTGAAATTGAGAAGGCAAACAAGGTCTCTCCTGGGTTTTGCTTTCTAATGGATGGTTCATCGTGTTCAAATCATCACCATCAGCTGCAATATCTGAGTCACTTTGATCATCTTCCTCAGAATCAGATGAATTTCCATATGCTATAGCCAACAATGCAAGAGCCGTGTTTCCTTTTTCAGTATTTGAAGCTTCCATATAACTTAGATCAGCAATTTGTGTCTGTTGTTCAGCAGATTCAATAGGAACATCGTATAAATCATTTCCGGCATTCTGTTTTGTCCATCCTGCATGATGGGGCAAAATATGTCATTAGTTTTACCTTGGCCAAGGAAGATTGAAACAGACAACTTATATACATAAAACTTTTGGGATATAGAATTAAAAGTAGATAAGATACAACCAAACTTCTTTTTTTCTCATTCACACCATAAAGGTTTGGCATAATATATATTAGGTATAGCTGCTCGCTCTTTACAAAAATAATAACATGGTAAGAACTCACTAAAATTCTACATTGAAAACACTTATCAGCTCAATTGTCTCCCTGGTTTACAAGAGCGCCAGAACTCACTAAAATTCTACATTAAAAACCTAAATATACAACTCATCAGCTCAATTGTCTCCCTGGTTTACAAGAGCACCCATAGCACCCGTATGAGCCTTCTGGTTCCCAACTATGCGACTAGTCATTGGCTAATTTATGTTCCTATCAAGCCTTTTGACAAAAGAAAAAGATTAGTTTTTAAGTAAAAGTAAATAAATGAAGAGATTACAATCAAGCATTTCGCACTGCAGTGACAGAGAACCTAGCTTCAGCAAAAGCCATATTGCCCTTCAGTTTTTAAAGAAACTCTAGCATTCCACAGTTCCTTCAACTGACATTGTCAGTACGAACAACCGCCTTCACCAAGGATGATCCAATTGGCTAGGTGTCTCAAGCAGAAGCACATTCACAATTTAGGGGACTTAAAATCACAGGTCGGATGACTTGCTTAGATCTAAACGAAAAGAATGAATTGACACTAGTTAAAGGTGTTGAATGAATAAAATCCCAGTATCAATTCGGAGAAACAGAAATATGACTGCCTCTGTTGGACATTAATCCTGGACTCTTTCTTTCAAACTCAATCTAGTTGTCAAGCAAGATGGTTTAGTGGACAAAGAAGTGAAGGAGTTAAAAACGTTCTCTACTTATATTATTATCAATATATGGGTTTTTAGGGGAGAATAGAAATAAAAGAAATGGTTAATGGTCTTCACCCTTGAGCCTTCGCATCAACAAAAGAATATATCGGTATTGGGTTGGGGGATGCAAATTTACCCAGATGACACAGATCTCAGAAAATGGCTTACACCAGTTTTGAAACAAGAATACTACCCTAAAGCCTATTAAATTCAGTAAGTCCAAGACTTACGTGTTTCCCCCTCCCTTCGTGCTAAGGCAGGGTATTGTGGGCCAAGTGAAATTACTTGCCATACATTCTTATATAATTCTATCCTAAATAAGTCCTTAGTCTAATATTTAGGATAAGAACGGTTGCCTATCAACATACGCCCTACTGCTCAACTCTTGACCTTATAAAGTAGATACAACAAGGGTATCTTGTAAAAAAAAGGGGTGGGGTCAAATTAACGATAAAATGTGGAGAATCCCGAAACAGCAACTTTTCACTACAATATGAAACTGAACCAAAAAGCAAAACCAAATAAATAGAACATGCCTGTATATGTGCTGCTCTGCTTGAGAATATTTGCATCTTCATGGGCAGCAGTTAAGTTATTTCTAGTTACTCCAGAACCAACTATCCGGTCATTAAAGAAGCTACAATCAGCTGACATAAGGTATCTAGCCGCTGGTTCTTTAGGCTGTACAATTGCAACACAGGAAAAACTTAATATTCCACATGTAACACATGAGAATAATCTTTGGTCTGATAACCCATCTCCTTGGCATGCATCTTTTTCACTGTCTCTTTGCAATGTTTTTGAACTTGAAGTGCATATGTCACCATTTGCACTGAATGAACAAACCCTGTTTCTTTCACACAAGGTAGCGAATTTTTCTTTTACAGAAGAAAAACCTTTTACTTTTTTTATTCCATGATTCCTGTTGAACACTAGATCGTCTGAAATGAATTTTTTTGAGGAATTCGTTCCCTCGGAATTGCACAAACTGAGTGAAATATCACTGTTAACCTTTAGTTGTTGAGATCCAAGACGTAACTTTGAGTAAACAGAGAAGTCAGAAGAGCTACGAGGAAGGAGTACTACAGAAGATCCTTTGCCAAGTGCATGGAGCAGATCATTATTCTGTAACACATCCTGTGCAAATAGTTCTTTAATTACGGTTTGTCCTACACCCTTCTTCTTATCTTTAAGTCGAGAACTCCTTGGTCCGACGCTGATGTCTTCAGGGATTCTGTATGGACAAACAAAAGTTATACATATATGTTAGGTTATATCCAGTATGATTAATCAACATTTTATAAACATGTGGTATGAAACTACATCTATATAAAGTGGATGAAAATATTGCTTATAATTGCAGCAATCTACTAAAATGAGTCTAGACCTATGAAGCGCTGACTCCAACACAGATACGGAGACGCTGACATTGCTAATATAAAAAACCATAGGACACCGACACCAATACATACATATTAATTTATTTATTACAATGAAATAAAATAATCATATTATTTATAAAAGATCTAAATTGAGAATCAAAATATATACACATGCATCAAAATTGAGCAGTTTATTTATCCATCTGTCATCAAAAAGCTAAAAATGTAATCAAATTTTAATGTTTTATCTTCTCATTGATCAGCATTGTTTGACGCATCTTTAAGCCTTGTAGATGTGTCCTAAGAATGTACAAGGCGTGTCAAATCAAAGAAAATAAAAACATTTTTTGGGGACATGTCTATGTTGTTACACACTTGTGGTACGAGTGTCATACGGATGTTGGACACCGATCAAATAAGTGCCGAAGCAAAGGAGTGTAACTGGGACCCTTGTCTGAGCAATCCAACACGTGTCATAGGTACGGGTATCATACAAGTGTCGGACACCAGGATACGCCAAGTTCTAGAGGTGATTGTGCTTCATAGGTCGGGACAAATGAAGAAAGAGACACCAATGAGGAAAGACAAACCTAGAACACATAGCAAGGCCAAGGTCATAAAGTAATTGGAAATGTGAAACCATGGGAGGATAATTAATTGAAGCCCTCCTAATAGCAGCATCTTTAGCAACCGTCAACCATTCAGGTGTTGCAATGTTAGCTGCCTCTCCACAGTTAAAACCTGTGTGCATCCAAAGGTATAGAAACATTCAACTATTGAAAGAAACAATTATCAAAAGTACACCCCACCGTCACAAAGAAAAGCAAGAGAAATGCGTTTTCCGTATTGCTGTCTCACCATGATTGAATCCAGTATGATAGGCTCTTGGAAATGTCACAACAAACTCCCCAGCATTTTGCACTAACCTGATTCAATGCAATTGGATATTAAACTCGAGATATAGATGTAAATTCTCAATATAAATACAGAGAGAGTACAAGTATGAGGATATAACATCCACCAAAACAGATACAGAAACAAAAAAGTGAAACAGAACAGAGCCAATGAAGCAAGCCTGTCAAGACTCCTTGCATATAAGAAAGGTGAACCTCTTGAAACTTCCCTAGTAAGGCACTGAAGAGAAGCCAGAAACAAGTCCCTACTCCCTAGCCTAAAGCAAATCTATAAGATCATAACGGAGCAGCATAAAACCCACCCTTGCAGATACAAAATTATGGTTTCGTTCTTTCAACCAAAACCTTCAAATAAATTATTTCCGGATCATCCGGAAGACAATATAACCAATCAAGTAACCAAACAAATAATCCCCAGGAAAAATAGCTAACCCACATTGTAAAAAACAATGCAGCTGAATCTTTTGTCTCAGGTTACATTTCCAGCAAGACCATGCGCATTGCAAGTTTGCAACAGTACTTCAACATAACTTCAACTCGAAATTATTTCTCTATAGAACAAAATAAAACAGCACCACCGAAAACAAAAATTGACAGCATAGAAAAAACCCCAAAATCTAGTACCTGCAACATGGAACACCTGCTTGGACGAATACTTCAGGGGACATCACTGTAGTTTTCTCCCCAAGAATAGCAAAAGTAACTAGCCATCAGAAACAAAACCCTCATAAGTTTCCCAAAAAATAACAAAAAACAAAAAAGCACTCAATCAATTACAATAGAGCATTAGCATTTAGCTACGTAGTACCAACACTTCATATCAGTGACGCTCTCGGTACTGATAGTGATACGACGCGCGCAGTTACATTATTTTCTTAAACTAGTCGTGTTTTCGTGCCAGTGCTACATAAGCATTTTGATTGAGCAACAAGTTATAAAAGCAATGATTAACTAACTAACTAACTAACCAAGAGGGTTAATCTCTCCTCCATAGCCATGAACTCTAACAACATCCTCAAAAGCAACAGCAGCCTCTCTAGGAACACCATACCAAGTCTTAGAAGCACCCATATGAAGATAATTCAAGCTATGCAAATCATGATCCTCCACATGCCAAGCAAACCAGCTAAACATCATAGCAACATAAACCATAGGAGAAGTAACCCCAGGAATCTCTTCTTTCATAAACTTCAATAAAGACCCATTCGCCCTCGAAACCCCTCTCATATTCCAAGCAGTTTCACCCACCGTTAAAAAACCATCTCCCCCAAAACCACCGTCGTTCACTTCCCCAAACGCAGAACCAGGCATGTCGTTCGCATACTCAACAGAAAAAGGCTTATCCGCAGTAGCTTTCCAGTACATAGCTTCCACTTCCAGAGGAGAAAACTGAGCGAGCTTCTTCCCTTTTCTGAAGTAACTCTTCTCAAACGACTTCGCCTTAGCTTCGAATTCGCGGAATGAGTAGTGATGACCACTATGCCAAACCGGCCGTCGAACCGGCTGAGGCCGCCGTGGACAGAATCCGATCTGCTGTTGACGGGTTGTGAACCGGGGTTGAGACCGGTTCATGTTAGCAATAACGGTTTTCTTAGAAGAAGATGAAACGGGTGGAATGATCTTGCAGATTCCGTATTTGGATGCTTCTTTTTCGATCTTGAAAATGTAAGCTATTGGATCTTGAAACTCTGCTAAAGATGGTCGATACTCTGGTGCTAATGGAAGAGATTTTAGCCATGGGAAAACCTCTTCACAACTCACCATTGTTGAAGTGCTTTTCCAGTTGCTAAAATAAATTATCAATCATTCATTGCCCTGTTTTTTTTTCAACAGAGTTTTGAGATTGATTCCATGCTTAGTTTTTTTAATTTTTGTATATTACTTTTGGGACATTTTAAAAAAAATTAAAATGGGTTTTGATTATAATAGTGTGTAGATTGTGGTTGTTACTTTGTTTGGCTGTTCTGTTTTCGATGTTGTTACAGAGAGAGGTGAAAAGGAAAAATGGTGGCAGAGTAGTGACTGTGTGAGAGTGAGTGGGGTTTTTTTGGTGTGGGGATTGGTTTTTGGAGTTTTAGGACAAAAATGGACGTTGTTGGTGTTGTTATTTACTAAATTGCCATTTTTTATTTTCTGTTTTTTGTAAGAATATATAAATTTGTGTGAGTTGGCGTTATGTTATTTGTGGATAATATATAATAATTTGAGAGAAAACGGTGGGTGTTACTTTCGCATGCATCTCTGACCTTGGGTTCTTCTTCCGCTTGGTTCGAAATATGTTTATTCTCTTCTTTTTCCATACTAAGTCTTTGCTTGTTCAGTTTGGGTCCTAATTAAGAACAGATTAACAATGTAATACTACTAACTACTTTTTAAAGAAGAATAATTGCTTTATATCAACAACAAACAATAGAATAATTACTTTTTAAAATATAAAGCAAAACTATTTTCTTTTATATTTTACTTAAATATAAATGAATGTTAATAATTTAACTATAATATTAATAAAATATCTCTTAATTAGTATGCCACGTGAGGTATAAGAGGGGAGTAATTTATATAACATTTCTTTACAATATATGAAGAGTTGAAGAATTAGTTTCAAAAAAATAAGAATATGCTATAATATTATTATTATTAAAATAGTATTATTATTTAGAAATATATATATATTTAAATAGTAATGATAAATTATTATAGACACATAATTTGTCAAAGTTTAAATAATAAGTCCAATTATTACATCAGTGTAATAAATGTATTTCTAGTAGTATAAATACTAGGGATGGCAATAAAATTCATTTAGATATTATTCATCCAATTCATCCAATAATTTATCCATTCAATCCATCCATAAGACAAAAAATAATTTAATGAATTTGATCCAATCCATCCATTAACTCATATGGATGGATTCAATTCATCCATCTCATTTTATAAATCCATTGGATCTTATATTATTAGTTAATGAATCTTATAAATCCATAGAAGTTAAAAAAAATAGATTTATGACATTAAAACACTAAAACTTTCTTATATATTAATTCATTTTTAAAAATAAGAATTCTGAAAACTGGTTATAAAAATTATTAGTCATAATAACATTTAATAGAAAATATGAATATATTATACTATCTCTGTTCTTTTTTACAAGGGACAATTTACATTTTTAAGTTTATTACATAATAAATATATTTAATTTAAAAACTGATCAAATATATTAATTATTTAATAAATCTAAAAAATAAATTTTCTCTTATAAAAAATAACGTAAGTAATATATATATATTAAAAAACAAAATTTCTTAAAAGATAAAAGTTGGATTCAAACTTAATAATCATAAATTAGATCTAAATATCTATAGTAGATAATGAAAGATCGCATAGGTTATGAAATTTATAATTTTAGTTCTTGAAGAAAATATCATTTATCTGTGTACGCTATAAAAGAATATTTGTTGATGGGTAATGAAACATTAAAATAAAAAATTAACTTTGTAGAGGATCAATGACAGTTTAGTAATTTTAAATATTTCTCTGAATTACTATTTATTTCACTTTTTTTATTTCTTTTTCTTTTTTTACTCTAATTATTTTTATTGAAGTTGATTTAATTTATTTAAAGATGAAAATTATTGGAGATTTTTTTTCTTCTGGTATTAATAATGTTTGTCTCTCACAAGTGTTCATTGACACCAACTCTTAATCACAATTTAATTATTCATTTTAATATTAATTTCACATTAATAAGGTAATTAATTATTACCGTTAGACTAACTACTCTTGTACATATAGCCTATTGTATCAGCTATATATTAATTACTTTGAAATATTATATTATTTCTAATAGTGTGGAATTATGTGATTTTAATATGGTACTGTAATTTCTTTTCTCACGTGATTTTTGGAAAGCCATTACCGATGTCACTTTTTCATTACTTTTCATATCTTTATTCAACATACTTTTTTTTCAATTATTTTTTTTAATTATTTTTTTCTGAAAAATAAATTTTCTTAATAATTATCAATTTTAGAGTTTAATGTAACAATAATTATTTTATAAATAAAATATTTAATTATTTGTTGAAAAGGAAAAAATGAGTGTAATTAAATTTTGAATATATTTTAAAAAATAATTAATGTTATAAAGAAAAATAAATTTTATTAATATTGCAATAATAATTCAATATTAATTTATAGTATAGATGACACTAAATAATTTTGTTTCTCTTATAGTTAGATGATACAAAATATATTTCACTTTTTAGTTTAATATTATTAAATCACAAATTTAAATTAATTTTTTTAATATATGTGATATATGCATAAAAATAATATATAAAATTTTAATCAAACACTTGAAGAATGAGTTTTTTGTAAAATTTAGTTTTTTTTATGAAATTTAAAAAATAATTAAGAATATTAATATTTTTTTTTTGTAAAATTTAAGTTTTTTTAAGAATTTTAAAAAATAATTCAAAATATTTAAATTATGTTCTTATGAAATTTAAAAAATAATTAAGAATTTTTAAATTAATTTTTTGGATGGATGAATATCCATCCATTAGAAATATGTTAATGGATGGATTGGATGGATTTTATCTCTTAATGGATGGATTGGATTGAATTTTTATTAAGAAAGTTAGTGGATTGTTAATGGATTAATGGATTGTTTTGACCCATCCATTAACAATCCAATCCATATCCATCAAATCCATCCATTTTGCCACCCCTAGTTTTTACTATGTTGGTGTATGGAAATTGGTGGATGTGTTAGACAACCTAATCATTAGATAGACTTTTGTGTGTGTCTTATTTCCTATCTATTGAATGGATAAATGAACTTGGATTTGTGAATTGATGTCATTGTAATTTACAGTTTTGTAATTTACATGCATTGTGAGTTATGAAGAGGTTGTGTTAAACAACTTTGTATAGATATAATTTTGTGAAGTAGATAGAGATTCATGATTTTTTTTTCTAATTAATATTTATACAATACAGGGTGTTGACTGCACATTAGGGAGGATATGTGGATTCAAAAAAAGAGGAAGGCCCCGCACCCTAGTTATGCCATTCACTTATAGTGATGTTGTGTGGTGCCTAAGCTTTTAAAGGGATAATGATTAAAGAAATTCTAGTTGAGAATGTATCTTAATTATTATGGCTGAATCATTCCTTTATATCTTGAAAATGGTCAGTTGGATCTTCTTCTTCAAAAGCATTCTGCTGCAGCCAACACAAACACAGACACAGGTGAGGCTATTAGATGTTTTCAAATTATTGTTTTTACATCTTTGATTAGTTAACATATGGTTGTGTAACATATAAATAAATAAATATATATTGTTTCCAATAGTTGTGTGCTACTTATATTCAAATACAATTAATTAGTTAACTATATTTCAATTTTGTACATTGTTTCCAAGCATCAACTTAATAAGTGGGCACATTACATTGTCCACTTTCTCATAATGTTTTTCCTTTTTGTTTCTCCATTCTTCAGAGTCATTAGTGCTTAACATCTTTAAATATTAATAAACTATGAAACAAATTGATTCTAATTTTGTCTTTCTTACAGGTCTATACTCATTTTGATATGAAACAAGGGAAGATCACTCTTTTAGAGTCTAGAGTAGAACATTTGTATCAACAATAGTTTATGCCATATAACAAGGACCAAAGTGAAAACTTATTGGATTTCATGCTACATTGAAGCTGCTGAAGTTAAATCTTCCACTGATGCTAGCAATAAAATATGACAATTTTATTTATTGGAAAGTCACTTTTGGTCATGGAGGAATCACATTTGACTTGAGAGTTAGAGGTAATTTATACAGGTAATTTTCATTTTTCTTAGACAATAAGTCTTCACATTGTATCTTTTGCATCTGAACTTGGGGTCCTTAAGCTCCTCCTTAGTTTATTTTTTAAAATGTAATTGCTTGAGCTTCTTGGTTAATGGATTCACAATTAATTGATTTGTCATATATTGAAAAATTCATGTCTAGGGTGCTTTATTTATAAGTTGTACTTTTCTACTCATAATGTTGTTTTTTTACATAGAGTTCAATCAACTATGTCCTAAATTAATGGACTAAATTACACCTTTGGTGTGTTGGTGTTAGGATAACATATTAGGAAGAATTAGTTAGTAAATCAGTTAACTATTTGTTTAGTTAGAGAAGTATTTGTATAAATTGACAAATACAATAATAGAGATGGGTGTGATAGAGGCATATATCTTTATTTGTTGAAGTTTATTTGAAAGGAATCTCAATTGGTAGAAAATTAAAAATGTTGGAACGTCATATATGTGATAAACTTGTAAAAGCTCTGTCATGTGTTGGACCATTATTCTCTATAATCATTTCAAATAACCTTCATTAAAATTATTTCATTCTATTGGACCTTACCACCATGTATGAATAAAGGTTTTGGTTGCACAAATTATCCCCCTGTTGTGCTGTTCTGATTAAAAGTTTTGGTTGCTCTAAATTTGCGAAGTTGTCTCTACATAGTGATGCTGATTTGTTTCTTCCTAAGTTGAGTGAACTGGCTGAATTATTATCATTTCGATGTGCTTAACAGCTTGTATATACTTGTATTTTTCTGGATCAGTTTGTTGATTTAAAAGTTTTTCTTGGAGCGACGACGGTTTCTAAGTTTCATGTGTGTAAGTTTCCTATATACTGATATTAAGTGTTTAATGGAACTTTATATCATTGTAGGAGGAATAACCTTTTCCTTACTAAGACCTTGAT